ATTTATTTATTTTATAGACAGAGTCTCTATGTAGCCCTGGCTGGTTTCTAATTTTGTAGATCAGACTGGCCTCAAATTTACTGCAATCCCCTGCCTTGCCCCCAAAGTGCTGGGACTCACACTTGTTACCACCATACCTTGCTTGTCTTTTTAAAAAGCCTTTTCCTACTGTGTAGTTTGTACAGACTCAGGATACTGACAGCTAAACACAAAATAATCAAAGCTAGTCACTATGATGGGCTGGTTTCTAATTTTGTAGATCAGACTGGCCTCAAATTTACTGCAATCCCCTGCCTTGCCCCCAAAGTGCTGGGACTCACACTTGTTACCACCATACCTTGCTTGTCTTTTTAAAAAGCCTTTTCCTACTGTGTAGTTTGTACAGACTCAGGATACTGACAGCTAAACACAAAATAATCAAAGCTAGTCACTATGATGAAGAATGGTCCATATATTCACAGTTCCCACCAGAATGTAAAGCAATGTTGGCATGTTACCTTCCTTGGACGTCTGAGTGACTCAATAAAAAGAAAAAAAAAAAAAATCAAAACTACCATAGCACATGCTAGCATTTAAGGAAAAGAAAAAAACATAGTTGTCATCCTATTTATTTCTTCAAATGTAAAATTCTGCTAGTGTTTTCATGTGAGGCAGACTAGGATTTTATTGCTATTCAATAACTTCTTTGTACTTGAAGTTATCACCATCATTTCCCCCTCTTCATTTCAGAGGGATAAACTGACTAAAGCAACATGTTGTTGATTTATATTTCTAGCTGGCATATGGCAGCAGTGATGTGAGCATGTACTGCTTCTAGAATGATAATGGTGAGATGATGGCCAATATTTTTCAAGCTTAACTTGTGACAATCATTAACTGTTTTAAATGAATTAAGCTATTTGAATAGCACAACAAATCACTGAATCCCATTTCAGAGAAGTGATCATTGAGATCCAAGGAGGTAAATCAGTTTGCACAAAATCAAATAAGGAATCAGTAGGCTTCTAACTCAGGCAAACTGGTTCCAGGGCCCAACTTCTTTACCTAGTAGGGCCTATGTAACCATATCCTTCAATGCCTCACCAGAATTAGGGACAATGTTTCAAATGAACAATCTAATAAAAGACCCTCCTTTGGCATTTATTTCCACCTGATCTACATGCTTACCTTGGAAGTGGCAACTTCTTACCTATAAATTTAGTAATAACATTGGTTTAAATTTCTTGGGGACATTTGGCATTTCTTTCATGATTTCTCTTTAAGGGTAGCATTTTGTAGTTTTAACAACTGCCTTGTGATACAGTGTTTAAGTGTAGAGCAGAATTTACATACAGAAATCCCAACAGGAAGGAATAAGATCTGCTTTCAAATGGAAAATAAATTAAAAGGTAATTTGATGAAATCGAAACCTAGCCCTATCTGATTATAAGGACATTCCTTAGCAGGCACCTTGTGTACTGAAAGTCACCTGTCATGAAGAGCAAGTCCTTTGGCAAGAAAACTGGGTTAGATGTGGTAACCATAGACTTTATGGGCAGAGATGATTCCTGTTCCTAATTCTTCACTGGTTAGGTCTCTGGTGTTGGTGTTGTAAGTTATAGACTGAAACCCAATGACAGCAATAGAAGAGTTGAAGCAGAGAAAACCTAAAAGAAAATATGCTAACAGGCTCCCTCACAGAGAGGGAAATCTGCTCAAAGTGATAGGCTTCTGGGGCTATGACACAGACCAGGACAGAGGTAGCAAGCATCAGGGAGAGGGTGAATGGAATTCCTCTTAGCAGACAGGCCACATTGCTTAGAAGAGCAGTGATATGTCAGTACATTTGAGGAGGGGAACTCTTCTTAAGATTGCAGATAAATAGAAATAAGCTGAAATAGCAGGCAAAACAGAAAATGAAACATTCTTACCCAGAGCACTCCCCAAGCAGATTAATAAATGCTGCAGGTGGTAACAGTGAGATGGTGATTATGATACAACCTGGGTGGTTATAATGGTTTATGGCTAAAATGTTTCATAATTTGGATTCAAGTGTCATTATGTAAACATGTGAAAGCATAAACATTTGTGCTGTTTTTCTAAACCCAGAGATTAGGGGTTACAGATTACATTTTACCCTATAATAAGCACAAAAGGGGTTTTATTTGTGTTTACTGAGGATTTCATACATTGTATTTTGATCATAGTTATCTCTCATCACCTCCTGGGATTCATCATTCACCCCCCTCTCCCCATTCTCCGCCCATCCAACTTTGTGTCATCTTTCTTTTGGGGGGGGGTCCTCCTGGGATTCATCATTCCCCCCCCCCCCCCCATTCCCCCCCCATCCAACTTTGGGTCCTCTTTTTTTTTGGGGGGGGGTCTTTTTGAGACAGGGTCTCCCTGTAGCCCTAGCTGGCCTAGAACTTGCTGTGTAGACCAGGCTAGACTGGATCTCACAGCGATCTGCCTGCCTCTGCCTCCAGAGTGCTTGGATTAAAGGAATGTGCCACCACACCTGGCTGAGATGATGATTTACTAGTCTTAAGTATGCTATCAGTAAAACTGGAGAATTGGGAGTGTAATTCCAGTCCAAGCCCAAAGACCTGAGAGCCAGAGGAGCCAATGCTATAGTTCAGTCTTGAACTATAGAATTTGAAAGCCAGCCAACCAGTGTCAAGGAACTGATGAGGTGGCTGTCCCAGCTTAAGCAATTTTCCTTCCTCTACCTTTTAGTTCTCTTCAACATGATGCCAACCCATACTGGCGACAATTTTCCTTACACAGTCTGCCAATTCAAATGCTAATCTCTTCTAGAAACATCCTTTTAGACATAACCATTGATACTGTTTTACTGCCTATCTGGACCTCCATTAACCCAGTCAAGTTGACCCATTAAATTAACCATCAAAGAAATTTAATATAATTGTACAGATGGAAACCATTTTTATCTTATGAAAATATTACATTTGGATATATTAAAACATCATGGGGTACACTGTAAATATTAGTATGAGAAATAGTAACAAGTACTAATGATGTTTTAATACAGAAATCACATTGTTAGCAAGAGTTACTAACTTCAATCAAGGCATAAAAGTACTGAGCAGTGTTCATGGGTGACAGGATGACAGGGTAGCAGTGCTCTTGTGTGGCTCCCTTGCCCTTGCTTCTGAAAATGGCGATGATAATTAAAGAGTGCTACAATCAAATGTTCCCATCTCAACTTATTTTTAACTTTGAATAAACCATTCAGAAGAAATGAATAATCTGCCAAGCTGCTTTTGTTGTGTAAAAGTGGTATGTGTCCTAAAATTAGAGCTCTTGGGCAATTATTTTGCCTATTTTATACCCTTTACATCCTGGAATCACTTCCCAGATGAAGGGCATTGAACTACATGCGCAATAATGAGGCCAGTTAACTGGCTGGCACCCCTTATAATCTATCCTGGGGAAGTCGGCTGTTCCGACCTAATGTGCTGCAATTAGAAAATCATAAGGGAGACTGAACAAGAGGTGTCAAACTCAGTGAAAGTTCTGGTTTCCTTTTTCCTGATTCTGCCACTTATAAGGTCTAACAATGAACCAAACATCTTTAGTTTCATTGCCTATATGTTGAAAAAACCTAAATGATTTCAGTGGTTTCCTCCTCCTCGACAATCATAATTCCCTAAAATTTGTGGGGCTTTCTCTGTCTCCAATGAACCCAACATTTAACCTAGGTTTATTTGACCAAAAAAAAAAACCTAAAAATTTTTCTTCTATTCAGGAAATAGCATAGCTTTCCAGTTGCTCCATGGGTTTTAGAACTACCTCTAATTTATTATTTCTCTAGTCAGCCTTTCTTTGAAATGTGCATTGTTTTTCAGTGACTTGTGGAGATACCTGCTTTAAATCTTTGTATCTTAGGGAAATTTTCTGTTTTCTTCTTAGAATTATTTGGATTTTTCACTTTAATATGAATGAGTTGAATCTCTTTTAAAAATATTTTTTTAAAATGCTCAAAATAATAGGGACAGCAACTTCCACCTGTAACCCCAGCACTTGGGAGGCTATAGCAGGAGGATTTCTGTGAATGTGAGGCCAACCTGAGCTTCATAGTGAGTTATAGGCCAGCCTGGGTTACAGAGTGAGGCCCTGTCTCAAAAAAACCAAAACACAGCTGGTCAAGGTTCAAAGTATAAGAGAATGTAGAGTGCTCAGCTCTAAATGGAACATCTGTATCTCCCCCCACAAGGCTCTGGGATTACAGAAGAAAAGAGGGAGAAAGAGTGTAGGAGCCAGAGGTGATAGATAACTAACAACAAAAGTTTTCCAGACACAAGGCAATTATACATATGAAGTTGTAGAAGTTGTGACAGCTTGTTCAAGACCTCTGAAGCTTAAGCCAGACAAAATTCCAACTTGGAAAGGGGAGGGGAGCATGAAGCCCCACCCTAGCTGAGTATCTATGGTCAATCGGTAGCTGCTGGAAGAGGAAGAGTTAGTCTTTAATAGAGTGAGCCCTGGTAGGTCAACCATACTCTAGTGGATGACCACATACCCAAGAGCATATGGGCAGCACAAACTGGACTCAATGGGTTTAAAAATAAAGATGAAAGCAGGGTGTGCTGGCACATTCCTTTAATCTCAGCATTTAGGAGGCGGAGGCAGAGGCAGAGGCAGAGGCAGAGCAGAGGCAGACAGATCTCTGAGTTCAAGGCCATCATCTCAAGCCCATTCCCTGTACTTATCTCTCTCTATATCTATGTATCCTGTTGGTTCTATTTCTCTTAAGAAGCCTGACTAATGCAATCATTCTCAAGTTTCACAATGTACCAAACACAGTTCTGAGCTTTTCATACAGAGTTTAGCTATGAGGAAACTGAGGCTCAGCAAGGTTCAATAAACTTGCTAATAAATGGTGATGACAGTATAAAACCTAGACCTGTTGACTCTAAGTTATTACTCCATGATATTTTACTTATATTCTGACACGAATGAAATTTCCCAGATGGCCATTCTTTCCCATTCTAGGTATTAAAGTAAATAATTTCATGAGGTTATAACAGGTACCTAGAAACTTTTTGCTGAAAAGCAGACTCCTCATTTGGATACACATAAGGAAACCAAAAGCAAGACAAAACATCTCTTAACCTCCACTTTGTATCTGGCTCCTTTACTTTGGGTCAGACTCCTGCTTAATGCTACTGGGAACATATTAACCACACAAGGAGTATGTAGAAACTGGTGATACCTATCTTATACCCCTTCAAGGCTGAAGGCACAACGAGAAATGATCCTGTCAGCTTTTACAATATCCTGTTCCAGAACCCCCCCAAGTAACAGAAGTCTCCAGTCATTGTCCTAAACCTGTAGTCATCCTGGACTCCAGGAACAAGGTGCCTAGTAGACAGTTCACCCCATCTCCCATAGGAATCTCATAGTCCCCTCAAGCAAGGATTTCTCTAACGTCACATAGAAAAACAGGTCAGCTGGACCACAGGTATGATTAATTATGCATACCTCTTTCCTGTGTCCTAATTCTTCCTCTATTCAAGTCTAAAGCGCATGTCACTACCCTAAAGATGGGTTGAAATGCTTTATTTCCATCTTGCCAAAGTGGCCATTTTGCTTAAATTTCTTTCCTGTTACTTCTTTCTGCTTTCTATGGGTCAAGTGGCTGGACTTGACATGTTGGAAAGCCCAGAGTTGGGCCTCTGGCCTAGGACCCTAGGGAGTCACCTCCGATAGAAACTATGAAATCTTGTTCTAAAATAAAAATTCAGCCTCAGGAAGCTCCTTTTGGTAGACACTATTTGTTCTAGCTCTAGGACTGTATCTTTATGCTGCCTACTTTAGGTTGCAATATGTTTCCAACACCCACTTTTTAAGCTTTTAAATGATATTTAAAAATTTCCCATCAGTTTCTATGTTCAGCCACCTGTACACTTCCTCTAGTTACCCAAAGTGGAGAAAAGACTAAAAAAAGTGTCCCTGGTTATACTAATAGAGAATCAGATTTTTGGGATATTATAATGAGCAGCTTATTGAATAGGTTTGCCTTCTAATGGTCACAACTATATCTCAAGAAAAATGAAATGCCTTTTTAAAACGTTTCCTTTTAGCCTGTGGACAAAGAAACTACCCAACTAGGACCAAGTTGCCCACCCCGAGAATGTCAGGCAAGAAAGGCCTGTCCCATTCAAATACCCCCTTTCTAGAGAGAACCACGTCCACAGGTAGATTCACTGAAGCACATACGTTTCTATCTGTGCTCTTACTCCTGAAGACTCTGGAGTGGTCCTTGAGGAGATGGTGTACCTAGTAGTTGATGGATATTCTGGAGTGGGTGTTAAGTGTAGGAATGAATGGACCTTGTTTTTAAGAGGTCAGATCTGGGGCTAGATTACTTGGATTTCATTTTTTTTTTTTCATTGTTATTTAGCTTTGGTTAAGTTATGTAATTTTCTGTAATTCAATTTCCTTGCTAGATTGAGGACGGTTACAGTACCTCACATGGCTATTGTGGGGATTAAGTAAGTCATTCTTCCTTTAAAAGCAGTGTTCTCAACACGGTTAAAACCCCAGTAACCATTACTTATTTCTACCCCCAAATTTCAAATACTTGGACGATGCTGCTGGCAATTTCCAGATGTTCAACCGGTTTGATTTCATTGTTAGGGACAACTGCATATACAGGGGTGACACAAACCCCGCTCCCGGATCGAAGGTGTGCAGCTCGGAATCTACATCTGGGGTAGGAACACCTAAGGGCGCAGAGGCGCTTACCAGCAGCCCGTGCAGGAGGCGGGCCCTTTAACAGGGTCGGCTGCCCGGCTCGAGCTGGAGCGCTCCAGGGAGGACCTGTTTCCCTCCCAGCTGGTTGCACGCGGGCGGGCGTTGTCCCGGCGCAGCCTCGCCTCGCCTCAGGCCCAGGTGGGCGGGAGGGTGAGGCCGGACCACTCGGATTTCCTCAAGTTTGGGCTTTCCCACAGCAGCACCGGACACAAAGGGACTTCTTAGCTAGGTCACTTCTCTTGAGTCGTCGCCCTCCCGTTCCCCGCCCCCAGCTTTGTTCCCAACTTCCCCTGGGCTGGCTCGGCGGCATCCCTCACGTCTCCGCTTTGTCTGGCCGCCACGCTGAGCCCCTTTGTTGTCCACCGTCTCTGCCAGTGAGAGATGGGGACGTCACCCACCATTCCTGAGAGAGGAAGTGAGGAAAGGCGGAGGCAAAGACGGCCTCACACGCCCCTCCGACGAGCGCGCCTCTAGGTAACTCTCGGGCGACACCACCCCGGAGGCACCAGAGCCCCTCACCCGCGTCCTCAGCCCAGAGGAGGGCACGGTGCAGTCGGCGTCCTCTGATTGGCTGCGGCCGTCGGGGCGCCGCGCCGCGATTGGATCTCGGGGCTGTCTGGCACGCGAGCGCGCGAGGTGGGGAGGGGGCGCTGGAAGCTGCTGGAAATCGGGCGGCGGGGCGCCGGGAGGGGGCCGCGCGGGCCGGTGGGCGGGGCTAGGGGATGGGCGGGACTACGCACACCCCGCCCAAGGCCCCGCCCCAGCCCTCTCCGCGTTGCTGCTCCGACCGCGGGCGTCCGAGGGGCGGGCGCGCCGCTGCATCCCCATCCTCTCTGTTGCTCGGCACAGCGCGAGCAGCTAAGGGCCAGAGCGAGCGGGCGGGCGCAGCACCGAGGCCGGGCCATGGCCACCACCAGTACCACGGGCTCCACCCTGCTGCAGCCCCTCAGCAACGCCGTGCAGCTGCCCATCGACCAGGTATCGGCGTCCAGGGCGTCGCGCCCAGGCCGCCCCTGCCGGCCGCTGACCACCCGGGCGGGAGCAGGGTGGGGGCTGGGGCCCATGCTGCTGTGCCCGGCGCCGGGCGGGGCGGGGGCGCGGGGTTGGCATTGTCCCCTCGCCCGTCGCGCCGCTGCCTGCCTCGGTGCCCACCCAGCCCCCCATCGCCGCCCCGGGCGGGGGTGGGCGCGGGAGGCGGCGCGACAACAGCCCGTCAGGGAGGGCTTGGCGGACAGAGGTGCGCGTGTGCATGCTGTCGCTCCCCCAACACCGGGCGCTCGGACCTGGGAGTCCCGGGGCGGCTGGACCTGGGGAAGGCTGCGGGGTGTCCGCGCTGGCCGCGAGCTCTGGGAGACTGAAGATGATGGTCTGTGTACGGAGTGGCCGGGATACGGCGTGGATGGATGGGGCTTGAAGCGGTCCAGTACTTGCCGACAGACAGTTTGCATTGGAGTGTGGCCGGACAGACGGAGAGGCAACAGTTTAGAAGGAGGGAGAGGTTATGAAGAGAAGTCAAAGTGAGTTCAGGATCCCTGGGTTTCTAGCGAGAAAGTTGCAGTGCTATGATTCGGAGCAGCTATCCTGTCCCCCCACCCTACCCTCAGAGGAGCATTTGACACTAGGGAAGGCTGGCATTTAAATGAGGCCGGTCGAATCTGATTGTTTAAGAGGCCTCAGGATTACTGAGAAATAAACAGTATTGGGATGGGAAAAGCAGCGCCATTTTTATTGAGCAAAGGAACTTTGGAAGTATTTTGTCCTGTGTGAGGTTTGGGAAAGTTGTTGGTGGGGTATGGTTAGATAATTGGTCTAGCCCCAGGCTGTAGGTAATTGACTTTGGAAATTTTGCTCAACATTATTTCAAGTGTTCCTGATCTGGAAGTGTTTGCACTTTACAATGGATACTGTCCTCAGCTTGACTGGCTGTTATTGGTGCCTTCAAAGATTTCGTTTAAAATACAGAATTCTTCTGTGTCCAGATTGCAAGCTGGAGATGACATCTGAGCCAACATTGTACGCACTGCTTTGTGCTTCACTGTTTAAAATAAAATACACTGAAGTATATGTCAGGAGGCTTAAACGCTTCTGCTAGTGTTCAAATGTGAATTCCTTCCTTACTTTCACTCAGTACTTTAAAGGTTAATAGTAAAGTACCCCACGTCCATATAGCTTGAATAGAGTTATGATGTGTATCATGTTAATAGATTGTTAAATGCCTCAAGTGAAATTATTCCTGTAATTCGCAAAACTACTTATTAATAAGTTGATCAGAACCTAGGATTTTGAGTCTTCTCAGTTTTATGGAGGAGGCTCACTTTCTTTTTCTTTCTAAACTGAGCTGCAGTGGATGACCTTTAGGTGTATAATGCCTCTGACTTAAATAGATTGTTGCCAGCCTACCAGCAAATGCAGGCCAGGATCTGTTGAAAATTTTTCTTGCTAATGAGAAGAGAGAGAGGCTTCTGCCTTTTCCTTCTTTTAGGGAGACAGAGATACTCTGTAGTCTCACTGCCATAGCTCCATGCTGCTACTATTTTGAAATATGTATATATATATATATAAAATGCTAATACTTCTACATTTCTCTAAAGGGGCATAACTTTTAAAAGTGATCTAATGTTGGGGCAGGAGAGATGGCTCAGCAGTTAAGGGTACTGACTGCTCTTGCAGGACTGGGGTTCCATTCCCAACACCCACATTGCAGCTAACAACCGTCTGTAACTCCAGTTCCAAGGGATCCAATGCCCTCTTCTGACCTCTTTGGGTATTGCAGGATACAGGTGCACTTACATACATGCAGGCAATATATTCATACACATAAAACAAAAATAATAAAATATTTTTTTTACAAAGTGATCTAATATTTATAAGTTCATTTAAACATCTCAGCAACCAGAGAAAGTTCTTTATAGAGCTGAACTAAGCAGGAGGGTCAAAGGAAGGTGATACGAGTTTTACTTTATTAGTCAAAGGTCTTGGTTTGGCATTGTAGACCATCTTCCTCTGAGGACCTCTCAAGTTTGTATAGCCCTGAATTTATATAGCCATTTGTATAATACAGTTGTTTGCTCTGCTTTAAGCATGTCTTAAGAATGTTGGGTTAATACCACACAAGCTGTAATTTTCATAATGATAATTATTTATGTGTAATACTAATGAATTGACTCATTAAAAAATTATTGAAGCTCTTGGAATAATTAAAAACTCACATTGTAAAGTTAGCCATTTATCCATTTTAAAATGGGGCCGAAACAGAAAAATTTATAACATGAACAGTTGAATCCAAGTTAAAAGAAAGCCTCAGACTTGGCCATCCTCAAATAATGCAATTCAGCAGGAAAAGAAAAATCAGGAAGTGAAAAATTTTAACTTGCTATTGTGTTAATTTGGTGTGTACCAACTAACTATGTTTAGAAATTTTCAGAAATTATAAAGCAATTGTTTGAGGAAGTAATAAAAGTTAACTTTTTGCTGCAGTTGACTTTGTGTGGAACATAATGCACCTTGCTGGTAAGAGTGCAGAGAAAGGAAGGAGTTTTGTGCTGTGAGGTTGACGTCAGGGAAGGAAAAGGAGCTCCTGAATTGTTTCCTCTCTAATCAGGATTCCAGAGTGACGTTGAGGGTAGCCCTGTTGTTTTTCTGTAGCCCTTAAATTTAAATTAAAAAATGTAAAATCTAGTGTCTAGGAGGTTACTGGTGCTTTAAGATCAGAAGCTTCTGTCCTCTGACGTTTTACTTCCTAGGCCTTTCTTTCCTAGTGACTTTATTTGTAGGATAATGTTCCATAGATGGGTAATAGGTAAAGGAATGTATGGAGGGTGGGTTTTGAGGGAGGAATTGCAGTAATGGAGTGCTGTGCCAAAGGAAAGGAGCTGCTCTGGGAGACCAGGGAGAGATCAGATATCACCCGCTTGTGTTCCTTATTAGTTGCTGATGTGGTGGGTTTTTAAAGACTCTGTAGCACGTAATGAAACAAAGAATAATGTCCCAGATCAACCTATACATATTTTTTTCAGTATTTCATATTCTATTGCATTTAGTTTGCCTGGACTGAATTATCAGATGAGGATGCTATCTGGTAGTGGCCCCTCTTTTAACCTCCCTCCTTCCCCCCTCCCTCCCCCTCCTTCCCTCCCTCCCTCCTTCCTTCTCTCCTTTCTTTTCTCCTTCATTCTCTCCATCCCTCTCTCTTTCTCCTTCTCCTTATTTCCCATGATGCTGTAATTACTACTGTGAAACTGGAGTAAATTTCTCTGGTCATGTGATATTTAGCATAGAAACTAGACAGAAGACTGGTTAGAGATGAGGCCCTGTTTTGGGACTGGGGTCATCAGGGAAACTGTACCGGACTCTTGGGACAGGGAGAAGGCAAGGGTGGGGAGGAGGAGAGACTCAGGGCGTTTTGAAAGTTTTGGAGGGTGGAGAAGAGTGTGGGTGGGGGGGAAAGTGTTGAAGTTACTATGCTTCCAAAGCTGAATAGTAATGCCCAACACTTGAGCATTTATGAAGCTCTTCCATTATTTAATTGAATTCTCACAACACCTGGAAGTAAGCATTCAAACATGATTTAGCTTCAAATGTGTGTGTGCCCACATACATGATAAGCATTCACATAAAAGATCAATTTTAGTTTATAGTTTTAATGTGGGGCAAATACTTGGCATATGTCTCTGTTTTAGTTCTGAGCCCTTTGGCAGGGAAAGTGAGAAAAAAACCTTTCCGAAACTTCTAATACTCTGGTGATTGTGGTTGGGCTAGGGAAAGTGTGTGTATGTGACAGAAAGAAGTGGTGAGGCTGATGGCATCTTTGCCCTTTTTGGCTGGTTGTTGACTTTTTCTAAGCCCCTTCCCCTTCATGTAGACTACCAAAAAAGTAAAGTTTTAGGGCAGTTATTTTAAAACTTTGGTTTCTTAAGTCCTCTGACAGGTCTGAACTATGCTGAATCCCATTTCAAAGATGGTTAAGTCTTCAGTGAAGACCCTTTTAAAGAAATGTCATCTAGGTGAATGCAGTAAAGCAGGCTGGTCAAGGTTGTCTTCCCTGCGGGTTGCGGTTGCAGTTTGAATGATTCAGGTTTAGCTCTGATCTGAGGATACAATTCATCTGTCTTTTGCCTACTTTGACACTTGTAGTGAGCATCAGTCTCTACCACAAGAACCTGGAAATAGTGACACAATGTTGTGGAAGATTCCTTACAGTCAGGAAGGCATCACCCTGTCAGTTAACAATTTAAGAAACATCACTTTACATAAGTGTCTCTTCCTGTGTAAAACATGTGTTGGGCTTATTTTAAAATTCTATGATTTTGTGTTTAGTAACCAACAAAGTTCCCCCAAGTTCTTTTTAGGCCAACTTTGAGGAATATAAATAAAAAGTTAGAAGAAGGTAGACTAATGATTTTGAGGAAGTTTCAATACCAGAGAGTTGAAACTGCCAGTTTAAAACTTAATAGAAAGTACTTGTCTTGGAAATGCTGTTAATGTAGGTTTCCCTGCATCCCGCCCACTCACTTCATTAACAGGAATGTGGTGGTGTGTGGTGGTGGCTGCTGAGGTGTGGAGTTGCATGATTAGGGTAGGAGCCATACTCAGTCTGCTATGTGCTCTTGGGCAGATTACTCTTTCCCCCTTTAAGTCCCAGTTTCTTCATCTGTGAAATCAGGATGATAATAACTAGTATGTACTTCTAGATGTGTAAAAGACCTGGCTCCCAGTAGATGTTTGATGTACAGTCCCCCCTTTAGGAATTGTGAAATACTTATATGTTCATTTTGAGAATTAACATCGGTTCGTATAAATTGCATTTTTAGACTCTGGGATTTCCTTTTTAGGAAGGAAAATACATATGAAGCTTAGGTTTCATTCTGTGCCCACACAGTGATTAAAGTAGGATTAAAACCTTGCAGCAAATTTGGAGTTAAAAGTGGTTTTTCTGCCTCCTTACTGCTTTGAGAGTTCTTTATCTCTGTGACTTGAAA